TTTGACCCAAGGCGTTCCTTTTCTAGAGAATGGATCGGATACCTCCCTTGAGAGAGAGAGGTTTGCGCTCGAACACTACTTGGAAGGACAGAACACCTCACTGGTAGTTAGCATGGTCAATGGGGCACGAGCAGTTCGAGCTTCTCAACTTAGTTTGAAGTTGGTTTCCACATCGGGGAAGACGCCATAGAGGTGCACCAGGCATTTACTATTGCAGACCAACCAATGAGAGCTTCCGAAAGCATCCAAGCGTTAGCGCGGCGCTGGCCTCGCCTCCACGATCTGCCGTTCGAGGATGTTCCGGACACCCGAGTAGACATATTGATCGGCTGTGACGTACCTGAGGCGCACTGGGTTTTGGACCAACGGATAGGAGAAAGTAGAGATCCGTACGCTGCACACACGATTTTTTGTTGGATACTTTGCGGACCGCTCGTCAATGATGGTAATTCAACAGCCTCAATGAACTACATATCGCGGCCAGATAATCCCATAGGAGAAGACCTGGAGCGGCTATACAACTACGAATTCGTGGACTACAGATGACCGGGTACCTATGTCGAGGGAAGATCGATCAGCCCTGGCTATCGTCACCAAAATGACACGACACAGCGGATCCCAGTTTGAAGTATTTTACCCTGGGGAACGGAATTAAGTCGTCTGCCCGATAATCAACAGATAGCCCTCTATAGACCCAGCTATTTGACGGGATGATTGAAAAGGACGCACAGTTGAAGGAAGCCTATTGTAATGCCATGAAATGAAATGTAGAACTTGGCTATATCGAACGCGCAGTGGGTGAAACTGACAAAGATCCACCATTATGGTATCTTACGCACCACCCAGTTATAAACTCTAAGAGACCTCAGAAGACCACAGTTGTGTTCGATTGTGCCGTCAAGTGTGACGGGATTGCCCTAAATGACCATCTACTACAAGGCCCGATCTGACGACTCCGCTGATTGAGGTGCTGTGCAGGTTTTGTCTAGGGTCAGTTGCGGTAGCGGCTGATATCCAGGAAATGTTCATGCAGGTTAAAGTCCCCGAAGGGCAAAGGAACGCTTTACGGTTATGGTGGTGGCCGGATGGAGACCTATATGGACCTACCCAGAAAACTCGGGTGACAGTGCACCCTTTAGGCGTGATAACCTCTCCCTTCTGTGCAAACTTCGCTTTAAAAGCGATCGTGAATCAGCTTGCTCAGCGTTTCTAAACCTCGGTTGACTCCTTTGTTAAACGTAACTTTTGTGTGGACGACTTCCTTTGATCCTTTTATAGCATCGAGGAAGCAGTTCGACACATGAGCTACTTATCTAAGCCAAGTAGATGTCTAACAGTCGTCAAGCAATCGATTTCGACCCGGTTGATGAACGGTCACCGTGTCTCCGTAACTTACTGAGGAATCCGTTACCAACAGAGAGGGCACTTGATATGCAGTGGGACTCGAATAACGATGAGTTTTTGTTCCAACTCCAGCTACCTGAGACGACGGTGACTCACAGAGGGATTCTGTCTTCGTTGGCCAGCATTTACGATCCAATGGGGTTCGTCCCACCGTGGCTACTGTCGGACAAGATTCTGCTGCAGGACCTGTGTAGAAAAAAGGTTACTTGGGAAGAATCCCTAAGCGAAGTGGATCACAAGACCTGGCAAGGCTAGTGGATTAGCCTGTCCAAGCCGGGCAATATGCGGCTCCTTCGTCCCATACCAGGAATACGTCGAGACGAGGCAAGTGAATTACACGTTTTTGCGGACGCGTCGGACGTTGGATACGGGCTAATGGCCTACAGTTGCTCGTCCCAGTCAGGTGGAAGGGGGCATAGCAGTATTCTATTCGCATAGGTCAGTGTCACCCCCCTGAAGGCAGTCACAATACCCAGGCTAGAACTGGCCGCACAATTACTAGCCGTGAGGTTGGCGAAGATGCTAAAAAGATGTTTCACTCGATTGAATGGTTCGAAAATTATCGAGCTGATTCCACTATAGTTCTCCACTATGTTACCAATATACGAACCGGCTTCAGCACATTTATTGCCAAACGGCTAGATGTCCTGCACGAAGAAACTGAGGTGTATCAATGACGCCACGTAAAAACCTGTCATAATCCAGCCGACTACTCCTCTAGAGGTGTGCTTAACTCGAAAAAAAATCAAAACAAGGTTATATGGAACAGCTTTTCAGACTGGTCAGCCCAGAAAATGGCCCGACACTTAGATTGCCCCTGTCGCAACGGAGTTACTGGAGACTAAGAGGACCGTTACGTTAGTTACTGCGTCAACCTACATTCTAATGCAGAAACTGCATCGTTTTTCACGATGGACGGAGGCGCTGAGAGTGGCTGTCCGGTGGACCAGGTTCAAACGACAACTCACTATTGTGAAAGGACTCCGACCTAATGACACCTTGAATATTGGACCCATCATTCCAACCGAATTCAAAACAGTAGAGACTGATGTGCTTCGTATGGTTCAATTACAAGCCTTCCCGTCAGAGATTCCGAGGGTGAGCAAGGGGAATTGTGGCTCCGACAGATGTGCATTACGTTGCAGATCTCTATGAGGACTCTGTCCAATATTGGTAGATGGTTTGCTGAGAGTAGATGGTAGATTGGCGAACTCTGAATTGGATTTTGATCCTAAACACCTCATTGTCTTGCTCAACGATCACCACGTCACGCACACACTCATCATACATATTCACATGCAAGAAGGTCACGCAGGGAAAAAGCACTTACTCAATACGATTCGCCGTCGGTTCTTAATAGTGAAGGGGTGAGCTACAGTGAAGCACATTGTGGGTAACTCTTTCGTTTGTCGTCGCCAGAATGGTACATTCAGCAAATAACTGATGGCCTCGTTACCAAGTTCCCGAGTACTAACAGGTTGGTGGCCCTTCACCGAAACTTGAGTGAACTACTTCGGACCACTTTGGGTGAGACGAAAGTCGTCGACGGAGAAACGGTACGGTTGCCTGATGACCTGCTTACAGTCACGAGCTTTGCATATAGAGACCGTGCACAGCATGTCGACCGACTCCTTTCTTATGGCCTTGCAGAGATTTGTAGGTAGACGACGCAACCCATCGAATGTGTTTTCCGTCAACGGATCCAATTTTGTCGGTGCACAAAAGGAGTTGAGTAACTGGTTGACGCGGTTAGGTAAATGCACTCTACAAGATCGGCTGTCGCCGTTCGGGACCCAATGGCACTTCAATCCACCCTACAGCAGTCACCGCGGGGGAGTTTGGGAACGGCTCTTACGGCCGATACGGAAAATAATAACAGCATTACGTGAATAACAGGCTCCGGACGACGAAACTTTGAGTACATTCCTGGTGAAGACAGAAGAATACTCAACAACCGACCGATTGTACCCGTCACTGGACTGGCGCTAACCCCCAGTGACCTTTTGCTGCTGAGCTCCATTGCTGACCTAGATGTGACAGAAACCATTAGTGGCTGTAATACCTTGGGTTGGAAGCATGCAAACTACCTGGCAGTGGTGTTTTGGATGCGTTGGACATGAGAGTGTCTCCCAACCCTTCAAGCTCGACAGAAGTGGTTGCATAAAGAACGGTCGCTGAAGGTTGGAGATGTTGTCCTCATGACCGACGAAAAGCTACAATGCAACAACTGGCGACTGGGTGTCGTCATAGAAAGCCACATAAGCCCAGAGGGACTAGCAATAATGGTGAAATTGTTTTGGTTTCAGATGCTATCAATATGCTGTCACCTGATTTGAATTTGCAATGCTTCAAAATCCACTTTGGTCGCACTTGCAGGGTTGGCATATGCTCCCTCATTCTATGACGCCAAAAGTTATTAGCAAAGTGATTGGCTTGTCTCCGCCGTCTTGTATAACTCTCCATCACTGTGAGACCTTCTAGGTTTTGATTTTTTTCCGTCAACAACAATAAACTGAACAAAGCTTCCTCAAAGAATGCACCATGTCTCCGTTTCGTGCTCCTTGAAGTTTTGCCTGTAATGTTGATTCACCGAATGTTTCATTTTGCACCATTGTTAAAATCTTCCATCGAGCTGCGTCGATTTCTTCGACCGTGAGGTTTCCTACGCTCAGGGTACTTTCGTTTATCGACGAATACATAATTCTAATGTAAGAGATGAAACGAATAATCCATGCAACTGACTTTAAAAGTTTTTACCATTGAGAGTAACGATGCAGAAGCTGTTCTAGTTTTATCGACAAAATAGCTGTGTTCACGGGTACTACAATTCTCTTCATCTCTGCGCAATCTGGTTGGTACGATAATAGAGATAATGCTTATGGAACATAGCTCTGTAAGAACATCGGCCCCTCTAACCATGTCTCTAGTTCTCTTCTTGTCGATATATCTCTCGAATTCAGGTCAGCAATATTTTGTTCGGACCGGATGTGACGCCATTGGGACACCATGGACTACTGATGAATGATTGCTAACAGATTGGAAATGAATTTATTAAAACGTGTTGAAGTATTTTCTATATGATATTTGACAATTTTGATTCCGTCTAGTACCACACCTCGCTGAACATCTCCGATAGAGCCGTTTTTATCAACTCTCTTATCTTGATTCCGAGGATTGCCGCAGACAATTCCAGTCGCGGTATGGTTACGGGTTTGATAGGTGCCACTCGAGACTTACTGAATAGCAAACGCTGTAAGCCGGTTTTCTTGCTGGAACGTACCACGCGTAGGCGACGGCCCCATAACCTTTATCGGATGCATCACAGAAAACATGCAACTCTGTTCTTTCTCCTACTCTCCAATCTTCGTTTCTAATACTTCTTTGGATCTTAATCACTTCTAGACACCTAACAAAGCGTACCCAGCTTTCCCAAATACTGGCATCTACAGCACTGAGAGGTTGGTCCTAACCCATTTTGGATTCACACAGTGTTTGCAGCAACTGCTTTGCTGGGAGGCATAGAGGAGCTACCAGACCTAGCGGGTCAAACCACGAACTGACGCTGGATAATATACCTCTTCTTGTCACCGGCTTATCTAGTAGCTGGAACTGGAACTTAAAAACATCTCTTGTTGTGTCCCACTGCACGCCAAAGCTCTCTGACAACTGGAATCAAATTGAGACAGTTGAACCAGGTTGGTACTTGTGCTGTCTTCCGAGAGGGATTCTGCAAGTTCGGGTGAGTTAGATGACCACCTTCTCAGTTTAAAACCACCTCCTCCCAATAGTTCGGTTATTTCCTTCGTAAAACGTAAGGCTTCATCGCATGTCGTGGACAATGCAAGACAGTCATCAACGTAGACGTTTTCTTCTATGGCTTTTAGCACCGCACGCCCATAACCACTACCGAATTCTCTCGCAGCCCTGTTCAAGGCAAAATTAGCACAAAACAGTGAGGAAGTTGCACCAAACGGGTGATCTTTCAGTTGATATTCCTCGGGATTCTTGGGTGGGTCACCTTGTGGCCACCAGAGAAACGTCAAAGCGCCTCTATCATGTTTTGGCACCTTCACTTGCATAAACATCTCTTCTATGTCAGCTGTAACAGCTACACGTACCTTACGGAATCGCAAAATTATACCCACTAAATTCGCGATGGTATCTGGACCTTGATAGAGCGTGTCATTCAACGATTGCCCCTTGTGTTTGACGGCACAATCCAAAACTATACGCAGCTTTTCCGGCTTTTTTGGGTTTAGTACTGCATGATGAGGCAGGTAACAACGCGGATGAAAGTCGCATTGTAACTGTTCCCCTAGGACTGGCAAGGCACATCCCTTCTCTGTAGTCATCTTCATCGTTTGTGCGTAACGGAACCGTAGCGTCTCGTTAGTAATTAAGCGCCGCTTCAGGCTGTTCAACCTCGAGAGCGCTGACGCATAGTTTTCCATACTGGTACCGGACTCTACAATAGCGATAGCCTCCGTATCGTCTACGGAAATGCCTTGATCCAATAACTGGGCGTCTGCTAATTCTGCATCGTACATTCGCATTACCTGATGCATTAAATTCGAGTCTTTTGCAGCCAAGCAGTTGACCGATTTCATTTCATACGAAGCGAAACTTGAAGGTCCAAAAATCACCCAACCTAATAGCGTCCGAACTGCATAAGGATTCTCTCGACCGCCGAGCCTTTGAGCAAGTACCTAATGTGCCTCCGGTATATCAAACCCAATTAATAGTAGAACTTCTCCATCAAAGTATTCTACCGGAAGGTCTGCCAAATGGGGCCACTTTTTCATTCTTTCAGATATATGTCTAACCGGCTTGAAAAGCACTGCTGACAAAGTTTGCCTCCACTGATCCACTCATTGTAGTTGTTTTTGAATGGTTTGAATGGTTTAACCCCAACTGAAGTAGTGCACTGGCTTTAATAATCGTCGCATCCGATCCATTATCTATCAGGGCATACCCGATAATCTCTTTCAATCCAGCTCTTATTTTGAACGGTAATAATCCCAGGCTCACATTATTGGTCAGAAGTCTAGTTGCTTCGCAGTGGCCCTCACCGATTGGTTCATGCTGCGTGCTTAGGACTCTTTTGACGATGTGAAATAACTTGTGATGTCTACCTCCGCAACCACTCACGTCACAAGCGGTCTTATTACTGAAGTCATTCGCTCGATGGCTTTCCATTAAACATATAAAACACAAACCGTATCTTCGTGCCTTGTCCTCTCTTTCCTGGGTTTTTAACTCCGAAAAACTCGAACAAGATGAAACCAGACGGTTATCAGCACAAATCACACATCATTGTGTGCGTAGATCGTTATTATTTTTGACCAAATTTACAGTATAGTTTAATGAAGGTTGGCGCCTGCTCGAAGGCTGTATAGACTGGACGGGCCTATTACTTCTTCTGTTTCGGTTAGCAAGTTGCCCAAAGCGACTCCTTGCTACTCTAGCCATTGCAGATATGAACCCTGTGAGTTCGCTAAAATTTGGCTCCCTGTCGTTTTGAGCAATCCGATCCACGGTCTCCGCCCACTTCTGTTGCAGAGAATACGGCAACTCTTTAACTGTTTCTTCCAACGTGCGATATGAATTAAGATCAGCCATGTAACCCATTTGTTCCAGGGCGATCATGCAGCTTTCCATTCGAATAGCTAAACATGACAATTCATCAGCGTCCACGCCATTCATGTTGAGACCCTCCAGTAATCCATCTAAAAGTGAGCGCGCTGCCTCGTGTGAGCGCCCAAATAGATCTTTGAGAATCGTCCATGCCCTATCGTACCCAACCGCGGGTGGCAACATGATGCAATCTTCAATTGCGCTCCTAGCCTTCCCCTTACAGTAATGAAGCAAATATAACAAGCGTTGCCCGTCGTCATTAGTCTCGGAGGCAACGTATATTTGAAATTGCCGAATGAGCCTCCAGCACATTGTGGGTCGATCATCGGTATACAGTAGCTCTACTTTGGGTAGGTCTAAATTCGCAGTAATGTGGCCTGATGTGGACGTCGTTGTCTTATGTTTTCTCTCTAGCTCACAGAACCCTGCTGTCCTGGGAACAAAAGGATCATTCGCCTCCCTAGCGTCCCATACTGAATGGTTTTCAACAAACTGCATCACTCGATCTTTGCCGTCCTCGCTCACGGTAGAACGGATGGACAACTTATCCTCCATTTTTTCTGCTCAATATTCTCCCACAGATGGCGTTCCTTCATTTCAATTGACGACACGCTAAGCTTCGACTTATCGCTCAGCCGACTAGACCCACTAACCCTGAAGCCATGAACAGAAAAACGATGCAAAGTGACTTGCCGAAATCCTCTAGTGTTGTCGTCGGATCCCCGCTGTTCGTCATCAACATCCTTATTCGACATATTCATTCTCCCAGTGACAGGCATATCAGAGTACTGTAGCGACCAAAACGCGATTGTCCTGGTCCGAGCAAAACGACAAAGACCTCGTCTGTATGCGTTCAATCAAATAATCCTTCGCTCGTTCTGGATACCGATAAACAAATCTCAGAGCAACCCGTAGCCTAAATTATCGAGAACCAAGTCGATCCAAAAATAATCTACAGTAATATTTTTGCATTAATCACAAATACACAAGACAGTCATACCTCTGATAGTGAGCCTGATTCACTATCCAGCTAATTGTTACAAATATTCACAGAAAATATCTGCGTTAATAAAAGTAAATAAGTAAATGTGTGATTTGAACTACCTTTCAGACAATTCTAGACCAACAGGAAAATTCTGCACGCTTCAGCAGATCAAGCAAAATAATCTTGAGCGTTACAGCCAAAAGGGGTTAAATATAACCGAAACCAATGGTTAGTTCAACAACGAGCATCCAATCGAAACTTTGGCCGCAATAAAACAAGAAAAAGCACTGAATCTCATTTACATATGAGAGCAAAACACTTAAAGTGTGTGTCCAATAGATATGCTTCACCTTGAAAAAGGTGAAAAAGAAGGTTCAGAAGAGAACGTAACAGTCCTCTTAGTCTCCAGTAATTCCGTTGCGACAGGGGCAATCTAAGTGTCGGGCCATTCGCTGGGCTGACTCGTCAGAAAAGCTGTTCCATGTAATCATATTTTGATTTTTTCCAGCACCGGTTTCGATCAAGAATTGGATACCGGTGCTTTGATCTTGGTTAAATAATAGACGACTGGTGAGGACGCTGGAAACAGGTTCCGTCATTACTGTCCGGCTCTGGGGTTTCCCTGTGCGATGAAAGAACAAGGTGTGGTACATTTCTTGGCTCTTGGGCCAAATTTTTGGTGATACCAGTAATGTTGAGTGTTGGAGCTGGCTGATGGGTGGTTTCTGCGTGTTTGCGAAGTCCAGCGACTTAGGCTTCAGATGCGGCTGGATGACCATGAACGGGAAAGGTGCAGAACCCATTGCTGCTTTTGCAGTCCTATGTTTCCCATTTGTGAAGTGATGTCAACACAGCGAGGGGTGGTCGGGGTTGGATTGGGGCAAGCGGTGATGTGTTGCGAAGCTGGGTTTGCTTCGAACATTTTATCCGCGGCCAGTGCCATTGCATCCAAAGAACTGCTGGAAACGACGGATAAAACTTCCCGGATGCGAGGAGTGAGACGGTTCAACCAAAGCTGGATTAGGATGGAGTCCTCAAGTAAGCGGGTACCGTGGAGTTGCCGCATGTGTCGCAACAACTGGGACGGAGTGCGGTCGCTGACTTCGTGGTCCCCAAACAATTCATTCAATCGGCGTTCATCCGACACAGCTGTGCGGATGATTAACGCTTCCTTCAACTGAGTGTATGGGACGTTTTCAGGCATGGTGTTGATAAATTCAAACACCTGTTGCGCCATGTCTGTGAGCAGGTAAGTGACTATGTGGGAATAATAATAATAATAATAATAAGTGTATATTTCACGGAGCCCCGTGAGGCATGCATA